ACAACAGGCTGTTTGTGGGTTGTTGCCGAGACCAAGAGCAGTACCAAGCTGGCAAGAGCCCCGGGTTATCAACCATATTTCAACCAACAAGAGAGTTTGCAAGGAGGAAACGTGCTTAGGCAGAATATTGGGCAAAAGTCTCAATAACAGAGGATGGCTCAACAATATTATCCCTTTTATACCCACCGGTTTCTGGTAGCAAAAGCTAACAGTATCTTCTTGAGAAGAGCTCAGCAGAATCCACCTTCAAACATATTTTTATCACCCATTTATCTAATTTACTTTCATTAAGGAAACAAATTATGTTCTTCTTTATATATCCAGTTTCTTTGAATTAGAGACTGTGGCTACTGGATTTCTGGAGTAGTTCTGAATTTATTCTCAGAAGACACTTGGGTTTTAGCTCGCCCTTGCAAAACAGTATTTTCCCATTTCCTGCATATAATTGGGAGAGATGAGCAAAACATCTCAACGGGGAACCTGGGGGTGGGCATTTGTTCTTGTGCTCAATAACTGCAAATTCTAGTCTAGTCTGGAAACATGAAGAGGAAACCTCATACTCTTTGTAGATCAGTTCTCAAGGATTGAGATTTTTTTTTTTTTTTAAATGAAACATGTAAATTGTTTCAGATTATGGGAGCGAAGGGGTGGTGGGTCTCCTCTTTCAAAGCCACGCACCTCATCGCATTAGTGCCTCTGAGCCCCAGTCGGAAAATAAAAGGACAAGAAGAGCTATTTAGGGCAATTTAAGGGGTTTTAATTAAGAATGAAGTATTAGAGCTTGTGAGGGGAGGAAATGAAGAGAGAAAGAATTGGCGCTGGATAACAGCCTTCGATTTCCTCTGGTGCCCTTGGTTAGGAGGACTAATAGCCCAAGGGAAGCAGTAAACACGACATCCTTTTAGCTCAATTAACACTAAGTGGGAGAAAATAGTAGGTAGTGTGGACAAACCCTACTTGAGTGAAGGGCCAGGATCCTGCCCCTATTCCTTCCACTTTCTAGACTTGGATATGCAAACCTGTACCTGCCATCTGTTCATAGCTATAAAATTTTTATAAAACAGATGCTGCAAACTGCCCCTTCAGTAAATGTCTCTCGTACAACCTTGAATTTAGAAGAAGCTTGATTTGACTTTGAAGCTACAGGGATTTTTATCACTTGGTGAAATGAATAAGAAAAAGAAAAGAACCTGACGAAGAGGGACCTCTTCTTTTCATTTTATTTGTCTGATCTTGAACAAACAGTGAAATGTTATTTTCCTGTAAGAAACTTGCAAGGAATTGGCCTGCATTTCTCAGCAGCCTTTGGGAAGAAATGGGTTTGCATCTCTGGCCACGTCCTCATTCCCTGAAGATGAACAGTGCATAGAATGGCAAACTTCATATGATTTCCAAAAAAGAAAAAAAAATTGGCCATTCATTACTCTCAAGATTTGCCAGCATGGCCGTGGCTATCACACAAACCTGTTACAGGGTGAAAAAACACGATTGCCCGGGTTTTGTGCCCTGATTCTTTTCCTTTCTCACAGTGGTTGAATCCATCATGCTCTTGGGGGACAAGACGGTGTGAGGACAGGTTGTCACCCCTTTGGGGGACACCATGGACACAGGGATGAACTTCGCACGGCAGCAGCCACCCATGATCCCACAGGCCACGATGGCTTCCTTAATCTCCAGATCTTAAGTGAGATCTTGAGCAGACCGAGTTGGGTCCACAGACCCACAAATGGCTATAAAAGCACCATTCCCAGCTCCCTGCTCCCACAAACCCCACTCCGTATGACATCCCCCTTCCTCCTGGGATTTTACAGGTCTTTGCTCTCCACAACCAGAATCTGCATCTTCTGTTGTTACTGCTCTTGTCCCTTCCCGTGTTTCTTTTGTTTTGCATTCAAGAAAAAAAAAATTTGAAACCACTGGGGACAGCAGCAGCCCCAACCTGTCCCAGCTGTATCTCTGTTCCTTTTGCAGCTGGATAATTGTTAAAGAGTAATAGTTAAATAAGGGCTTACGCAGGGGTGAATTTCTTATTTAAGACTTTACATTGCAAATGCTCAGACTCTTTGGTTTGTCTTCTCTGCATCTTTAGCCAAAGGTCAAAAAGATTTTGGTCTGGCTCTTGTTTGCTGTGAGATTAAGCCAGAGGAGAGCCTGGCTCATAAAGCCCTGAGCAGTGTTTAACCCTGTGCACTGATGATTTTCTGCAGACCCCTTTCATCCCACGGGATGAAAGAATCCATATAAAGTCCAGAAAAGTTTCCTTCTGCCTTGAAACAGCAGCCAGAGCCGGGAAGCGTCCATCTGGCGATGGATGCTCCAACCTCAGTCAGCCCAAGGTGACTTTGACTTGGAGGATCTGTTACGGCTTTGGGGTGCAGGTCCCACAGCCCCAGCAGGACCCCGAGACTTGTTCCCAGATTCTTCATTTGCTCATCTTGAAAGCAGAAAAATAAAAATCCCCTACCAACAGGCATGCCTGGGCTTTGCTAGTAAGATCTTGGCATCGGGAGAAGGGGGTGGCAGGCAGTGTGCCGCAAGCCCAAGCTGGGCATGGGGGAGAAGATCCTCCCCCACCATTCCCACAGCACTTAATGAGGTGGAAAGGTCGCCAGAAGGTTTAGCTTCACTTGCAGCATAAGTGAAATGGGGATTTGGGGATTTCTGTGTGGCGTTCAGCACAAGGAAAGCCTCCTCCAGGCACCTCTGCAAAGCTCTGACTGAGCTTTGGTGGGGAAAGGAGAGCCCTGTGCCACCCTTCCCTCTCCCCTGGGGACATTCACCTCTCACAGAAAATTGTTCCTACTGAGGACAAGTCTCTATTTTTTTTATTTGAAGCTGAGCCTCAGCTGAAGAGAATGAGCTGTGTGTGATACGTGGCTGCTGGTTTCCCTCTGTTACAGGCCGGGGCTTGTCTGGGAGGGAGGGGAGGTGCAGGAGTGCTCCAACCCTGCCCTTGGAAGGGAAAGAGGCAGGAAAAGCTGAACTGTGGAAAGGGAAAGGAAAAGACACCCTGGTCCTCTACCCAAGGGAACTTCCCGGGGCACCCAAGTCCTCGTGGAGCCCCCTGAGCACCCGCTCGCACTGGGAACCCCCCTCTGACCACCCCACCAGTGCCCCCCTTGGACCCTTTGGATATTTCAAACCCAAACCACATGCAAGCCACCTAAGACACTAGTGTGGATATCTACAACAGGTTGGATCGATACACCGCTGGCCGCTTTAGCTCCCTTCTGCAGCAGAACTGGTTTGGTTGGTTGTTTGGGGTTTTTTTTAATATTTATTCACTTTTCCACATTTTTAAGGATTTGTGTGGTTTTTCATTGTCGGCTTTGGGCCTGATTTTTCCTTGTGTGGCAGAAAGCTTTCAAGCCACATGGCAAAATAAAATAAGCCACATGACAGAAGAATATAGATACAAGGAGCTCCACATTTCTGTTTAAACAGGAGTCACAAAACAGAAGATGAAAAGGCACGTTTGCATTCCTATTTGTGCTGTTTGATGCTGGCTGCAGAACATAACTGGAACAAACAATGTTTAAAATAAACTAGAAAAAAATTCTCATATATTTGGGCTTTACTTTTGCTATTGATTCATAGGCAACAGTTGCACTTGGCAAAGAAACTGCAATTTCAGATAGACAGATACAGGGTGTTTGTAGCACTGGAGCGAGAAATCAATGTGAATGAAAGCACGTCTTGAGTCATGACCTCGTTAGGAAAAAAAAGCATGTCCAACTTTCTCCCTCCAGCTGGAGCCATTCCATTGCAGAGCTCTCCCAAAACCTCAGCCAGCTCCATTTCCCCAGCCCCAATCTCAGACTGACCCTCAAGGATCTGCCGCCGCCAGCGATGGTGACAGAGACAAACATGCCTGAGTTGTTGCTCTTCCTGGGAGGTAATTAAGCTGCAGTCAAGGATAGCTGATTTTTGTTGAATTTGAATCAATACAAACACACAGCCCGAGATTTCTGAGCCTTTATTAGAGGGAAGGACAAGCCATGCACCTTCTGGTTTGCCTTGCTGCTCCAAGACAAGCAACCCTGCCTCTGACCCTGCGTGGCCATGGGGACACAGCCAGAAGCACACACGGGTCAGGGTGCCCCCAAGGGCTCCTCCTGGGAAATTGGGTTGGGCATCTGGGTGTGAGGAGATGGTGCGTTCTCGGTGTGCCACTTGCATGGCTGGTGGGCTACGGGTGCACCAGGCTGCTGGGGACACCAAGCAGCATCTGACAAGCAAACCCACCCTTTACCCAGCAGTTTCTGGGTTAGAGCAGCCCGCTGCCAGGATTCCCACCTCCACCCAAAGCGCCTGAACATGGACATATACGATCTTAAACTACCCTGAGAGCAGAGACGGAGACACCCTCCTCAGAAAACACATCAGTCAAGATCCTTCTGGGTGCCCCAGAGTCCTACTCTGCTATGAAGGACAGTGATAATGCCACTGATGTGCCCCCCTGTGTCTGCCTGGTCTGGCTGTGGTCGGAGAAATTGGGACCCTCCAGTCTGCTCACATGAGTGGCTTCTTTAGAAAGTCGAGCAGGTTAGGAAAGTTATCCCCACGCAAAGCAAGGCATCCACATTTGGTGGCCATGTGCCCCCACACGGTCTCTGGCTGAAAAATGCACATTTCTGAATATGTATTGTCCTTTCAACAACAAACTGCAATTTAAAAGAAAAAGTGTGCACAGCAATTTACTGCTACTGTGAGAGCCAGTGTGGTGCCAGAGGCAGAAAGTGCTATCTGTTGCTTAGGAACAATCTTTATCCTACAAAATGAAGATGTACGCTGTCCAAAGAGTTTTTTAACCCCCCAAATAAACCACGGGAAGAAGTCTTTGTGCTCCAAATACTGCGCTATACCCAGCCATGAGTCAAGATATAGGGTACATGCCCCATGCCCGGCTGTGCTGCGAGATGTAGGGTATATACCCTGTCCCCAGTCGTGATCTGAGATAAGGTCTGTAAAAGCTCAATGGGAAACTTGCTGGCCCCAGGCAGCCCCCGCTTCCTGCCCTGGTGCTGGCAGGATCGTGGCTCAGGTTTTACTCCTCAGTGCACAGAACAGGCACAGAAACGGAGGCAGACTGCAGCCATGCCGCTGCAGAGGCATTTCTGAAAACTGAGGCTTATGGAGAACTACCTCAGGCTTGTTGCGTGTCTGGTCACTAATCCGGATACTCATCCTGCCCTCTGCTTCAACGAGCCGAGCAACTGTCTCTTCACTGATGCGTCTTTCCAGCTGTATGTGGGATTGGGTCAGGTGGAAACACCTCCAGCTACGTCCTGCTCTGAATGACTCTGCCTCTGCCTGGCTGCAGTGGTTGTTATTGCACTGATTTGTTTTCCCCAAAGAACAAAACATCCTGGAGCTGCTCAGAAGAGCTGCTTCTCGAGGATGCAGAGCCCATCAGTTTGTTCCCTCGTGCTCGCTCTCCTTGCCAGGCATGAGACCACTTCTGGGAACAGCAACGTACAACCACGACCAACAATGAGCTCCCGCGCCCGGTCTAAAGCAAAGTGCACAGCAGGTCCAAAAGCAAAAGTGATCCCGTGAGGTCCTTCAGTCAAGAAAATCTCATTTGCAAAGCTATCTTGTCTGAGACCCTGGTGGGAGTATCTGCCAGGGTGGAGCAGGTATTGAACCGAGAAGCCTTGCAGGACAGACCACTGGAGCTCTTCTTCTTGCGGTAGAAATAGCTGCTGAGGTGGAACCAGAACTTGTCGTGGAGGGAGGCATAGATGAAGGGGTTGTAGCAGGCAGAGCTCATGGCAATCAGGTGACATGAGACCTGGATGACATTGACGTACCTCTTGTCCAGGATGATGAACTCCTCATCGATGTCTCTGATGAAGTTCACCACCTGGAGGGGCAGCCAGCAGACAGCGAAGCACACCACCGAGACGGTCAGCACCCGGAAGGTCTTCTGCTTCGTTTTGGTCCATTTGTCTTGGCAGGGATAGGCAGCGCCCGGGATGTTCCTCCTCCGCAAGCGGTAGGTGATGGCACAGAAGGAGACCGACACCGCCAAAAGTGGGAGCACGTAAGACAAGAGGAGCATCAGGCACGAGTACAGCAGCCGCTCTCTCTCTTCGTGCTTCCAGAACTCTTCACAGATGATCATGTTGTGGCCGATGGCGTTGAGATCCAAGTAGTGGGTGTGCAGCGCTGTGGGGACAGAGGCTGTGATGGAGAGTAACCAAATGCAGGCCACAAGGCAGACACAGGCCCGGCAGCTTATCCTCCTGCGAATGGGGTACGCCACCACCACGTACCGGTCGATGGCGATGGCGGTGAGCGACAGCACCGAGACGAAGACAGTGGCAGCCTGCATCAAGGTGACAAAGTAGCACATGAACATCCCGAAGAGCCAGCCCTGCTCCTCAAAGGCATAGGAGACAGTGAGGGGGACACAGGCGAGGCACATGATGAAATCAGCTGCCGCCAGGTTCCCGATCAGGAAATTGGTGGTGCAGTGCAGCTTCTTGGTGAGCGCGATGAGGAGGATGAGGAAGAGGTTCCCCGTGCACGCCACTGCCACCAGCGTGGCGTAGAGCGGGATGAAGAGGGGCTTCAGCTCCAGGAGGAGGTCCAGGCCGGTGAAGAGAGGGGCTGAGCTGTTCTGCCAGGAGTTGTTAGGCAGCGGCGTGTGTGCCATGCTGTCCATCCCACGGCCACTGCTGCTTCTCCACGCCTTGAAGTCAAACAGGGATGAGACCGTCAGCCCTGAAAAAAGGGGTAAAAAAGGAGGGGGTGGGGAAGGGAAAAAGGAAAGGGAAAAAAATGGGGAAAGAAATGTGCTCTGGCTGTACTTCTGGGCAGAAGAACCCGTCCCCAGGGTCTAGGTGCTCTTGCACAGCCCCGTAAGTGATGCACCAGCCGACTTAAACGATGCCGCGACTTCTCAAGAGCGAGTGTGTCCCGTGGCAGACACAGCAGAGCATCGGCACGGAGAGAGCAGGCAACCTGGCTACGAAAGGGTTAACCAGACCTCAGGCAGCTGCCAGGGACAGGGAAAGCAGCTCGGGATGCCTCCTCGAGAGTAAGGTGGGAGCTGCGCTGACATAAAGCAGAAATAAAAGGTGCTCCTGCACTTTTTGCTTTCCCCTTTCCCCTGACAGCTCCAGACCGAAGTGCCAGGCCTGCGGCTGCCTCCAGCCTCTCCACCACCCCACCTTCCTTCCCCCCAGCCCACCCTGCCTCACCATTCCCCCGGCCCGGGGGGTTATTTTACCCCACTGGTTATTTCTCTGCTGCCCGTGGCGCTCGGGCTTCTCCTGCCATCGCTCCTCACCGCGACGGGACCTGAGCACGGCCACAAAACTACCGAGAGCAGCCCACGAGGGATGACGCCAAAGCCATCCTAGCCCGTTGCTGAAGGTGTGTTGCCCTTTCAACGCTGAACCGCAATTGTGTAAGGAAATGTAGGCACACAACTGTGTAAGAAAGTGGAAGGAAATGAAGAATTGCCCACCAGGACCCTCCTCTGGGACCCCACGCTGTCGAATTTACCATTTCATCCCCCTGGCCAGGACCTGCCCACTCTCCTTCCCCACAGTGAAGAGTCAAACCAGCATTAATTAAGCACCCCCGTAATGAGCTGGGACCTAGGACGGTTTCCCACCGCCCGGCCGCACAGGCAGCGCGCACGCCGGGAACACAGACCCCAGCTCCAACAGCCGAGGAGCCCCTAAATACGATCGTTATTTAAAGAAAAAATATTCAGCCCCGCTCCCAGAGCCCCCCTCCATCGCGGAGCCCCCTCCGCAGACCGAGGGGGGCTGAGTCCAGCCGGGACCGAGTCCAAGCCGGGGACTTTCCCGGAGCCCCCCCGGGGACCGAGTGCACTCACCTGCCGGGGGGGCCGG